GGTATCAGAAGGTCATATAGGCTCTGCTTAGAGCGGTAAAAGACAGAACTTTGGAGGTGTAATTTTATACCGCGTTTTTGCCACGTCAAAGTTTTGAAGATGCTACAGCTTTAGAAACGTCGACCTACCCTTCTTAACATCAAATGATGTCGGAGTGGTGGAAGCTAAAAATCCTGGATTTTGATGAAGTAGATTCATGGTAAGCATAAGCGGACACTTAGAAAGATAAGTGATTCATTTCAAAATGGCAGAATCTGCTACAAAAAAAAGCCAGGTGCCGTAGCTATCTGTTTTGTCAAATCTCATTGCATTTTTTTCACTTCCTCTATCGACAAATGTAGACTTAGACTTCTGCCCATGGTAACTGCGTGTAAAGCAAGTGAAACAGCAGCTACAAGAAGAACGGAGCACTGTGAGCATTAGGACTGAAATGGTTCTTGTTCATTGCATGAATAGGCATTTGACGATGGCACTACAAATCACGTGCAAATTTTTCGTGCAGGTCTTCAATGCCTGCGGTCTCTGCTACCTCCGTTTTGGCTTATCAGGTCTATCATGTGTTAGCTGTAAATATCCTTTTATGCTGCTCTTGCCGGAAAGACTTGACACGCTACGCATACATTTTTATGGAGGTGTATTCTGGGGTGAACTAATTTCCTGTTGCCTATTTCGTCCTCCCGATTGTCACTTTGTAACACTTCCGCGCCAGACTCATTTACTTCCCTTTCCAGATTTAAGATAGTTGTTCTCCTAGCTCCAAAATGTGGATTTCCTAAAGTGCAGATTAACCTTTACAAATATATACTCAAATCCGTCTTTGAAGCATTCATCCTTCTTTATTCATTTTAATGCTCAGAAAATTGCCTCGGCAGCATAGAGAGCTGGTCATTTCCAATGCTATTTGAGTATGCCCACTTGGTTACCTCACGTTAAAGTCAAGTCTTGCAATCTGTTTTACAAACAGTCACACACAAAGTCAAATTTAACCGAAGAAGGTATAGTTAGTTTTCAATCCGTAACAAAATTAAATACGTTTACCACTGCCTCCTGCCATTTGACTGCTACACAATCATACAATTATCCAACTACCTAATTCCTTCAGAGGAACAAAACTAAGAGCAAAAGACATTTTTCAGTGATTGTGCTGCCCTCTAAACCATGACCGAAGGAATGTTGAGTCCGCAAAGATATTGGATACCACCGTGAACGCAAAGACCAACGATGAGGTCAAACCAAATAGAAAAGAATCTGATTTATCCTTCAAAAACTGCCATGAAAATTAATGATATACATTTTTAGCTTTTTCTTTGAGTTAAGCACTTCACAAAAGGAGATTAGTAAACGGAATGTACACACTACGGGGCATCATTCATCCTCTAGCAATAATGTCCAAATGAAGGAAAGCTGGCCGAAGAAAAGAGGAATTTTATTCAAATATCGTAATCGAATCCATAGTACGCGCGGGTATCACTCCTCCGGATGTGGTTTTAGTAACATTATCCTCCCTTGCCTCCAGACTAATCACAAATCAGTGAAGAACTCGCGACAGTTAAGCGGAAGTTTGACCACATGCAAAGTTCCAATAAAGATAAAAAATTACATTTGTTTATGTTGTAAATTTCACTACACGAACACTTTCAAAATCTAACAATTCAGCTATTGCACTAGTGGCATTTAAGCATGCACTACCAGTTTCTCAGAGCTTCTGCATACTTAATATAAGGTCTATGCTCATTATTTAAAAGCATTACTTCAAATTGAGTAGTTCTTAACATCAAATGATGTCGGAGTGGTGGAAGCTAAAAATCCTGGATTTTGATGAAGTAGATTCATGGTAAGCATAAGCGGACACTTAGAAAGATAAGTGATTCATTTCAAAATGGCAGAATCTGCTACAAAAAAAAGCCAGGTGCCGTAGCTATCTGTTTTGTCAAATCTCATTGCATTTTTTTCACTTCCTCTATCGACAAATGTAGACTTAGACTTCTGCCCATGGTAACTGCGTGTAAAGCAAGTGAAACAGCAGCTACAAGAAGAACGGAGCACTGTGAGCATTAGGACTGAAATGGTTCTTGTTCATTGCATGAATAGGCATTTGACGATGGCACTACAAATCACGTGCAAATTTTTCGTGCAGGTCTTCAATGCCTGCGGTCTCTGCTACCTCCGTTTTGGCTTATCAGGTCTATCATGTGTTAGCTGTAAATATCCTTTTATGCTGCTCTTGCCGGAAAGACTTGACACGCTACGCATACATTTTTATGGAGGTGTATTCTGGGGTGAACTAATTTCCTGTTGCCTATTTCGTCCTCCCGATTGTCACTTTGTAACACTTCCGCGCCAGACTCATTTACTTCCCTTTCCAGATTTAAGATAGTTGTTCTCCTAGCTCCAAAATGTGGATTTCCTAAAGTGCAGATTAACCTTTACAAATATATACTCAAATCCGTCTTTGAAGCATTCATCCTTCTTTATTCATTTTAATGCTCAGAAAATTGCCTCGGCAGCATAGAGAGCTGGTCATTTCCAATGCTATTTGAGTATGCCCACTTGGTTACCTCACGTTAAAGTCAAGTCTTGCAATCTGTTTTACAAACAGTCACACACAAAGTCAAATTTAACCGAAGAAGGTATAGTTAGTTTTCAATCCGTAACAAAATTAAATACGTTTACCACTGCCTCCTGCCATTTGACTGCTACACAATCATACAATTATCCAACTACCTAATTCCTTCAGAGGAACAAAACTAAGAGCAAAAGACATTTTTCAGTGATTGTGCTGCCCTCTAAACCATGACCGAAGGAATGTTGAGTCCGCAAAGATATTGGATACCACCGTGAACGCAAAGACCAACGATGAGGTCAAACCAAATAGAAAAGAATCTGATTTATCCTTCAAAAACTGCCATGAAAATTAATGATATACATTTTTAGCTTTTTCTTTGAGTTAAGCACTTCACAAAAGGAGATTAGTAAACGGAATGTACACACTACGGGGCATCATTCATCCTCTAGCAATAATGTCCAAATGAAGGAAAGCTGGCCGAAGAAAAGAGGAATTTTATTCAAATATCGTAATCGAATCCATAGTACGCGCGGGTATCACTCCTCCGGATGTGGTTTTAGTAACATTATCCTCCCTTGCCTCCAGACTAATCACAAATCAGTGAAGAACTCGCGACAGTTAAGCGGAAGTTTGACCACATGCAAAGTTCCAATAAAGATAAAAAATTACATTTGTTTATGTTGTAAATTTCACTACACGAACACTTTCAAAATCTAACAATTCAGCTATTGCACTAGTGGCATTTAAGCATGCACTACCAGTTTCTCAGAGCTTCTGCATACTTAATATAAGGTCTATGCTCATTATTTAAAAGCATTACTTCAAATTGAGTAG